CTGTGATGTTTCTCATTCGGCTTGTACTTGGCGCCAAGGATGTAGACGCGAATCATACGCCTCAGTCGCTGGCGTCTCTCGGGGACCTAAACCAAGCCGCCGACGACAAAGCCTGGAAGACTTTTACACGGCGTGTCGCCATGGGCCTCACCCGCGGCCACAAGCGCCGCCGGGCGACTACAGAAGAGCAAGACGAGCCCCCGCGCCGCCGCCTGCGCAGCCACGGCCCGGTGAACGAGTAATGAAGAAGGGGATTGCTAGTCTCTACGTATGCGAACTCTTCGTAACAACGAAGATAACGCGAAAGACGTTCATATTATAATCAATAGTTCATACCAGCTCACCCCGCACGGGACCTGTTACCTCAAAATTTGTAAAAATTCGCCGGCCGTTTTTATCGTGGTCGATTTTAAAAATGGTGACCAGCAATTTTCAATCGTTTTTAAGGCCCATGCGATGAGCAATGGACGAATTCAAGGCATGAAGGCGCCTTCAGACTGCAGCTCGTAGTTATCTCCAGTCGAGGACAGCCATGCCTGCAACACAGAGATCCCAGATATAGCAGGAACCTCTCTGACAGCACTCGCATTGAGCGTTTTAGGCAAATAATCTGCACAAACAGCGTCGATGCGCCCGGTGGCATGCGGTTTGCTCCTTTTCTCACAGCCATGAGCCACCTTGCTGAGTCTCGCTCAGCGTGGCCACATTGACCGTGAGCGGGACGGCCTAGTCGATGGTGGCGTCGGCGTCGTCGCCAAGTACATCATTACACAAATGCTCTCGCACATACATTTGGTCTGCATTCAATGTCGACGTGGTTTCAAACAATAAACTGCTGAAGCAACATTGACATGGTTCGCCATTATGGTCCATATATTATGTATGTGAACTGAACCTCGGCTGCGCCTCGGGCCCTGCGGGCAAAGTTGCTGCGACTCGCTTCGCGCTGGAGAGGTGTGGATGGTTAAGAATTGGAGATGAAAAAGTGATTGTGAAATGGAGGTTGATGGTAGCAGTTAGGCTTCACAAGGGAGGAGTGCTGGGCCCTCGGAAACCAGTCCAATAGTCAGTGGCAAGCCAACTGGACTATCGGAGTTTGTAAAAATGAATGTGAAAAAAAACCACACCGAAGTGTGGAAATCAGTTTTCACACTGATTAGAACAGATACTACACTTGATCTTAGCCAAAAGGCCGAGGCCATCGAGCCGCTCGCTGCTCATCTTCGTCGCGCGCCGGAGCACGGCCTCCAGCTCGGGCCACGCACCGCCGTCACGTCGATTTTGTTTGCGGACGACTGTACGCTCCTCTCGGGTACCAAGGGCGGCCTCGACCGCCAACTCGGTATCGTCCAAGAGTATTGTGTGGTTTCTGGTGCGCGGCTGAACCGCGCCAAGTGCAAGACGCTCGCGCTCAACAGCAAGCGTCCGCCACCGGACTGGCCCGATCACAACGTCATGGCCTCGGGCGCTCACGTCAAGTACTTGGGCATCTGGTTCGGCCACGACCTGTCGACGTCCCGACAAGTCGATGCACTCGTTCAACGCTTCTACGCGGACTTCCTC